CTGGACGGTATTATGTCCAGAGACATGGCCAGAAAGAAGATCAAAGAGGGCCATATATGCCTTATTAAAAAGCACCCACTCGATCCTGTTGGTACCAGAGTCAATAAAGGAGTCTACACTGAGCAGTAGCATAGGAAGATCTGGGTTTCAGGTATAGCAATTACACAAGCAAATTTGTAGGTGAGCCATTTAAGGGCTGTGAAGCTATAGCAAAGAAAAGCAGAAAGGTGATGAGGTAAAGTGCATACAGAGGAAGATTACATGTGTCAAATATTTAAGAAGCAAACGTAGCAGGACTTGGTAATTAACTAAAGACAGGGCAAAATCAAGAACTCTCAAACAGTGGGGGAGAACCCAGGAACAGGACTGACATAAAGGAGATGGTGATGAATTCTGTTTGGGATCTCTTTGACATCCTTTGGGATGTCTAGGTAGAAATACTTAGCAAACTACTGGATGTATTGATCTGACTCTCAGAAAAATATACCAAGAGATATAAATTTGGGATCCATCAAGGTTTAGGTTATAATTAAAACAATAAGAGCATGAATAAGATCACACAAATAGAGAATGTACAATTAGCATAATGGTAGCCCAAGGGGAACCAAGAGAACACTAACATTTAAGGAGTAGGTCGAGTAGGTCAGAGGAAGGGAGGAAGGGAGAAAGGAAGGAAGGGAGGAAAAAAAGAAAAGAAAAACCTGAAAGCAGAAAGAAAGAGAGTGGTCAGAGAGGAATATGAGGACAATCATGTCACAGAAGCCAAGAGAGTTTTAAAAAAGAAATTATTATCAGACTCAAATGTAAAGCATAGGCCCAAGAGATGATCACTAAAAAATGGCGATTGGATTTTGGTGATCTAGAAGTAACTGATGATCTTAACAAAATCTCATGACATCAAAGCAAACTGCAGTAGAATGGGGGCATCTGAGAAATAAAGAGGTGGGGACAGGATCCATCACTACGCCTGCAATAGGTTTAGATGAAGAGCACAAGGAGGACAATACTGCCTAAGAAATATGAGGTCAGGAGTCAGGACAAGGAGGGTTGTTTCCAGTTCTACCACCCTTAGATACTAAAGTTCTACCAATCATTCTGAGAGAAACGAGTCTAGTTCAGACAGAAGGTAACATTACATGGTACCAACCAAAAGTTGAGAAGTTCAAGTACTTAGCAAGAACGGCAAAATTAAACTGTGCCATAGGATTATCTAATAAAAAAAAAAATAACAATGATAATATTCAAAGAGATTAGGCTCTGGCTCTGCCACTTAGTAGTTGTGTGATCTTGGGTAAGTTACCGAGTCCTTTGTCTTTCAATTTCTTGATCTACAAAGTGGGGATAATAACAGTACTTATAGATGTTGTAAGGATTATAATAAGATACTGCATACAGATAGAATGCTAACTTGGTGCTGGCTTACAGTAGGACCTCAAATTTGTCATTATTCAAGATAACAGACAAAAATTACATAGTGCAAAAAGAACTTCACTTTTTAGGAGGCATTGTTAGTTGTGCATTTATGACAAGTCCTTATGGCATCCTGATTTACAGGTTCACAATTAGCTCCAATAAATAGGTCACCATTTGTACACTTAAGGAAAAAACGACAACACTGTAAACACTTTACCCTAATATATATGCATATATCTTATAAATCAGTAAAAGGAAGAACAAGGACTCAATTGTTAATTTCAAATTCAAAAGAACCTTCCTTTTCTATGGCACTGAGGTACAGTTCTCATTAATTTCTGTAACAAAGTATACAGTGCAGAGACTTGTTCATCTGTGTCAAAAATGAATTAAACATAACTCTGAATAGTAATAAGTGCTATAATGTTGTTTCCCTTTTGAATTTACATGTGCAGAATTTACATGTCTTTAATGATGTAGCATGCAACTCTTCCAGCCAATCCAAGGAGACAAAAAGATTCAATTATTCTCTAGATCTATAACCAGTTACATACTTTCCTTATATATCAGAATTTCATTACTGCTGAAACAGATAAAAAGACAGCATATAGTAAAAGATCTTATGATCAATAATCAACAAGGCCAAAGACCTGGGAGAAATGCATAAAAATACAGCACATTTCATAATATATAGTCTCATTACTGCTAGAATGCTGTTACCTTTTAAACAAGCAAAAGAACTACTTTTTAATAAAACAAGGAGTAAAAACATCAGTAAAGTTCTATATCAAAATAATAAAAGTACAGCTCTAGAATTAAGATGTTATTAAGTGATTTGAATTGACATGGTAACTTAAGAAAACATCATGTAGTTTGATAGTTATAGTATATGTACATGGTGGGCAAATTTATATTCAGAAATTTCATATACAGATCTTTAAATCAGTAGCATAGTTCCTAGCAAAAGTCTTTAAGACTCCCCTCCCTCCAAAAAGTCTATTTAGCAAAAACATTATTTCTTGGATGAATTAACCCAACTGCAAATGAGTATACAGTTAAACACCCTCACTGTCTTTATTTTTATTCAGCTCCATACTTCAAGCACAATAGTCACCAGATTGCTAAAAGCACCAGGAAGCACAGCAATGAGAATATAGAACTGATATTTATGTCTTTAAAAATATTAGCTATTAAGCAATTCACAGTAGGATATTTGAGTTTTAATGTTAAATTTTTTTTTTTTTTAGATGCAACCTTTTTTCTCTGTTTAGTAAATTCTCACTATATAAAACTGAAACAAAGAAATAAACCTTTTTTCCTACCCTGGAGTACTACATAACACCCGAAAATCACAATATTAGTACTGGAACGCTGAAAAAAAATAAAGTACCATGTTAAAGATTAAATAAGCAGCATTCTTAGGAGTCNTACATAACACCCGAAAATCACAATATTAGTACTGGAACGCTGAAAAAAAAAAAAAGTACCATGTTAAAGATTAAATAAGCAGCATTCTTAGGAGTAACACACAAAACCCACTTCACATCACTGTATTACTTCCTACAGCAACTTGGTAGTTATTCCGGTATTATAAATGGTTAATAAAAAGTCCCAGTTAATAACAAGTCAACACACTTAAAAATCTTTTCACCCACTCAGGGCAAGTAAAAATATATCATTAGGGGTAAGATGACGCTATGTGTTGAAGTGAAGGGTAGGGTGGCAGAGTAAAAATGATGCCTTTGTTATCCTTCCCAAAATAATTTTGCTGGCATTGGAACAGTCCATACAAAAAATGAAGGAGTTACCCCAGGTGTGGACTGAGCACCCTGTTTGTACCAATCACTGTCTAGCTGCTGCTGCTCCTTTTGTGGCAGAGTTAGACCCTTACAAAGAAGTGATTCTTTGCTTGAACCAGCAGCAACCCAGACTCAACCTGCAATGGGCAACACTATTTTTAAATAACTTGAATGACTCTGATTCCTGGTAGCAGCCAATGAAAATACCAAGACTATCAAGACTAATCAGTGTTATAGGAACGCACGTCACAGGCATCGATTATAAACACCAATTTGCATGTTCCTGGACATCGCCTTTTTTTCCTCTGAAGATAACATAGAGCTAAAAGTCTGAAACAATGAAAGTACCTTAAAATATAAGGTACTTTTAGCTATGCAGATAGCACACTCCACTTCTCTTTAGAGACCAAAAGACAATCACAAGGGAGAAAGGCGCATTATGGAACCAAACCCAGGCCCTTCCCTTGGGTTTCTTTTATTTTCCTGTTGGAATCAGTGGGGAAGAACTGTTTCACATCTCTACTGATGGGGTGTTCCTAGGACAAGACCAACCCGACCCCAAGTTCATTTCGGTACCTGGAGCCCCTCC